ATAGGTACCTTCTAGCAGAACAACCACTGCTTCTGATACCTTCTGCCAGAATGGGATCTGCTGTGCCTGCCAGCCAAATTCAGAGAAAAAGCATCTCTAGGCTCCTTTGGAAGAGCATAGAGGAGCTGCCAGTGTGTAACTGAAAGCACTTTATAAGAAACAGAGTTGAAAAGCTGCCTATGTTGACATTTTTCCCGTATTTGCTACTTTATACAACTGCGAGTGTGAGAAAGGAAGAATGCTGAGCTTGAAGCAAAACCAGAGCATTATCACGTTCTCTTTGAACATATGTCTATATTACTCTATTGAAGCACTTGCTTGGTTTATCTTTTAGGGTTTAAAATTTTCTAAACCTTATATTTAACCCTCTTTTTTTTTTTCTTTAAGAAGCCAACCAACAAGCTCATCAAAAGAAGACACTGGAGAAGTAAAATACCCCTGTGGAGTTTTCAGTGTTTGAAGCCCTAAATCCTGCTGAGAACCACAGATATCAGATTTACAATACATCATTTTAAATAAGCTCTTTGCATCAAGGGATTCTTCAAACAGAGCAGCAGATATTACTATGTATATTTTACCTGTTTCTTTATCAAAAAACAAATATACAGCCTGGTTCTGTAACATAAACTACACTATCTAGAAGACTATTGTCTCTGTTAACATTAAACTGACATTTGCCTTATCACATGAATGTTATTTCATCACTGTACCAAATTTTAAGACTAGGGAATGAGCATTTAATTTGAATGACCTGTCAGTTTTATGTAACTTACATTTACTTAAATCATTCTTGCTTAAATAATCTTTTTGTGCATGTGTATGTGGCAAGGGTCAAGTACAAAGAACTCTTCTGCTGAGGTTTTCAAGTAGCAAAGTTATTTAGTCCTAGTAATGGACTAAAGTAAGCACTTCACAAAAAGTCTCAGCCCCCTGAGCTAAAAGAGATTATGTAGTTTGATATCTTTTCTCCTGATCTTGTTAGAAACTGCCACTTTATCTTAGCATGAGAGCAATACTGTGGGGAATGATTTGTGTGGCAATGTGTTATGGTTTAACCTCAGACAGCAACTAAGTCCTGCAAAACTACTCACTCACTTCCCCCACATTGGATTGGACAGAGAATTGGAAAAGTGAGAAAGCTTGTGGGTTGAGATAAAGTCTGTTGAATAAGTAAAGCAAACCCCATGCATGTGAGCAAAGCAAAGCGAGGAATTAATCTACTACTTCCTATAGCTGGCAGGTGTGCAGCCATCTCCAGAAAAGCAAGACTCCACCATGCATAATGGTGACTTGGGGAGGCAAATGCCATTACTCCAAACATGCCCCCCTTCCTCCATCTTCTCCTGGCTTTATATGCTGAGCACAATGCCATATGGGATTGGTCAGTTGGAGTCAGCTGTCCTGGCCATGTGTCCTCCCAACTCATTGTGCACTCCCAGACTCCTTACTGTTGGGGTGGGGTGAGGGGCAGAACATACCCTGACTTTACTGTAAGCCCTGCTCAGCAGTGACTGAAACATCCCAGTATTATCAACACTGTTTCCAGTACAAATCCAAAACATAGCCCTGTACTCTACCCCAGCCAAAATCAGCACATTCTCTACCACTTATTCCATACCATTTATATCATGGTCAGGTCCCACACTATGCGACACATCCTCCATAACAATCCTGCTGTCTTCCCATCCTTTGATACACAGATATCATTCCCATAGCCTGTGGACCACCCCTGCATGCAAATGCATGTAAAATGTCTACAAATATCCACTGACTTAATTTAGTCCATGACTTCAGGCTCCATCTTTTATGGTGGTAGCTCAGGATAAGTGAGGTGGTGTGTTGCATGGAGTTACTGGGCACCAAAGGCAGCTTGGGCTGGTCACTGCTGCACTTGCACTGCTCCTTGCAAGGCTTGTCCTGCACTAATTCGGGTGGTTCCTGCTGATAGCAAGAAGCACAGTACTACAGCGAGCAGTGAAAGTAAAAATCAGCCACTAATGAGCACTGGGCTCATTACAATCATACAGTCAGTCAAGCAAGCCCCATGGCAAGCACAGGAGCCTGTCAATTAATAGCTAAACAGCAAGAACAGCTGTAAATTCAGTCTAGCACATTTCAATCTGCCATTATCTGGAACCCTTCGAGCCCCACACTGGGAATCAAAAAGAATTTTATGGGTTTAATCCCAGTTGGCAAGTAAGCTCCACCCAGGATGGGGGAGAGAACTGGAAGAGTATAAGTGAAGAAAACTCCTGGATTCAGATAAGTGCAGCTTGAAAAATTAACTCTATCCCAGTCAAAACCACCACACAACGAATATAGATTACCTGACTGAAATAACAGAGTTTCTCGAAATGAGGTCATTGTAGGTGTCAGCCCTTAAAAGGTTTTCAGCTCTGCAGAAGTACAAGTAGAAGAAACCAGCTGCTTGCAAGGCTCATATCATTCAATGTAAGTGAATGAACTGTGAATATGCAGAGCTAGCTCTTTACCAAGAAAATATTAAAGTGATTTTACTTGTTAGAAAAATATCCATCTTAAATTCATGGCATTTTTGTAAGGTTACAGTGCTTGGGCTTACCCAGGAAGATTGCTTTGAGTAGCAACCAAGTGTAAGCTTTACGCTGTAAAGTAATACTAATATAATGTCAAAAAGTGCTGAGGTTGGTATGACGTATGTGAGAGACATACATGTGAGATTAGCCTGTAAAATTCAGATGCTGTAGTGAGTAAAGAAAAACTAGATCAGAGAAGGCTTGGGAATAAAAAAGAATCGGTAAAGGTGAAAGTTTATGCATAGAAAGTATATATATGTTTTGATATGTATCTAAATCTTCCCCTTAGCTTGCCACTGTAGTTAACATCTTACTATGCCATGCCATGTTAGAAACTTAAAGAGTATCAGCATGCCATGACAGGTCATGAGCTAAAGTTGGTCTCGTGGCTATGTTTTATTCCTTGATGGAGAGCAACTGCTTTGGCTTAGTGATGAAGAGGTATTAACTCATACCAGTGTTTGCTTTCTGTTGAGTGAACACTGAACCTCTCAAAGGAAAATCTGAGAGTCTGACAGGACAGAAATATGTTTACCCTCTGTTCTTTTGAATAACCCAGCTCTTGTTCCATGCACCACAGACATCTTAATAATCCCTGTCTTCACCAGTCAGGAGTTGGGTCTAGAAAACACTATTCTTAGGACCTAATCCTCATATGCCTCTTGAAAATGAATGTTCAAATTCACAGAATCAGAATGTTCAAAACACTGAAACATGCAGCAGGATAACACTTCATTTTCCTCATAAAAAAAAGCAAACCCTTCTTGGTTTGATGTAAGTATAGACTTCAAAATCACTTTGCTTTAAATCATGAGTTTGCACTTCTGGAAAATAGATGTTCCTTCTTTTTCTCTATAAGGTGGAAGGTTTTGTTCCTCTTCTCCCCTTCTTTTATTTTCCTACTTTGCATCTTCTTAATCAGTGAGCCTTAGTCCTGTTGCGTTTTCTGAGGAGTGAATGTTCTAGTGTAGCAATGCTGCTTAATATCTGTACCAAAGCTTAAGCCAACCCAAACATTTGCATCTAAGATGTATGAGGTTCCTGATCTAGGTACTATTTTAATCATGGCACTGCTTTCACAATCATTTTGCTAAACTATTAAGAGAGAAAGAGAACCATTAGGAATGACTCTCAGGAATTTGATAAAAAACCCACTCTAAAACATTGTGTAAGGCACAACATTTGTTTTAAATAAAGGGAAATCCTACCATGACAATATTGTGATTAAAATGCCAAGAAAATGGTTTAATAAACATCAGAGACATCATGGGTAACTCTTGCTTTAATGATCACTGATTAATTATCATATGGTGCTTATGCTTAATGTTTTTTGGACAAATTAGAAATTCTGCCTCAGGCCACCAAACACTGCACTTTCAGTACTGCACAAAAAGGATGTGTGCTAAAGAATGACAGGATTTGGTTCAAAATGCTGAAAGCAAGCCAATACAACTGCAGATGCTTGCTCTGTAAATTGTCTCAGGGGCATCATCTGCAGGAGGAAATTAAAGGTTTTCAATTGCCCCACAGCAAAGCTGTACCAGTAGTTTGCATGAGAGTCACATGGTAGGCACAGAAGACACATTTTAATTCTACAGTCTCTCGCCTTTTTGGATAAGGTTAGAGGCTGGAGCTAAACATCCCTGCATTTCACTTGTGGCACCTTGCTTTTGAGAGATTGCCAGCACATGCAGCTAATGCAGTAGTACATACATTTGTGTGCACTAAGGCACTTCTTGAGCAGTAGAAGAGCTCAAACAGAGCAACTTAGGTGCTGTTCCTGATAGGTCTTGTGCAGTCTGTGCTATTAACTCTTCATAGCTTGTTCTGAAGCTTATTAAGTTGTCAGTATTTTCTCTCCTGATTTTTCACGGGTATTGTGCTTTACAGCACTACCTAAAGTTTTGCAAAATATGCAGAATGAAATCAGCAAAATGCATATGCCAAATTGAGATATTAATCTGATAAACTGAGGGTGCAACTTATTTACACATCTGGAGACCAAAAACCTATGCTTAGTCTCTAGCCATATAGATTTTTCCTCACTGCCATAAAACTTAGTCTCAAATTCTAATTCTGCAAGCCATTTTTAACCCTGTGAATATCAACACAAGCTCTTCTGTTTTCTTACCATGTAGTTATAATGCATAATAACCTTTAACGGGCAATAAACCTCTAGCCTTTAATTTTCAATGGGCAGAGTTCAAACTGTAGTTCTGTTCTCTCAAATATTTTAGCAAAGATTACTGTCTTAGTGTGGCAAGCTCCCCCAGCTGCATCTCCTCAGTAATCTTTCTTTCTTAAGAAAGAGAAATAAGGTCTTAACTACTTCATGTAACTAAACCATCTGTTAAATCATTTTGGCATATTAAGAATAGATCAGGACAAAAGTGAAACTCTTTTTCACCTCTGTTATAATCTGAATTATTCTATCTCTACACTTACCATTGACCAATGATCCTTTTCCTTCCCTTAGGGTGTTTTCAGTGATGATCTTTTTCTGATGAGAAAAAACAATACCTTTTCAAAGAGCAGGTCACTTTGAGGGCACACAGGCTATGTTTATGTTATTTTACTTGGACACATATTCCTTTTGTCATTGGGATTTACAGCACAGTTAATATTTCTCTGTGTTTAGTCTTAAGTGACTGCACACCAGTTTTCCCTGAAGGAAAGAATAAATGATTACTGCTGGAGCTGCCCAGCTCTGGTCCTTCCAGATGGTGTTAACCAGAGATACACAGCTCGGGTAGCTCGGGACATGCTGAGCTATCCAGTGGTTTCAAACTGAGCAAGTGCAATATTTTTTGAGCCTAAAAGCTGTGAGTTTTTCTGCAGGGTGACATTATCCAGCACAGACGTAGATAGTACTGTCTACCTCCTGCAGGTTGCCAAAAGCAAGCATGCACTTGCTGGCAAAGGACAGTAAGCAACTTATCAGTTACTCAATAAGGACCACAACTTTCCTCATATGAAAACTTCAGAGGTTTCATACAAGCATCTTATTCAAATGTCATCAGTGCTTCAGCTGAAAACCCCTCTTCTGTCTGTACCTCAGTCTGAGGTACAGTCACAGGACAACAGGATAAGAACCTCTTTGTCACAAGCAAGGGTTCCAGTCCAGCACACCCTTCTTTTATGTCTGAGTTACCCAATCACCTTAATTGATTTAATGTGTCTCTGTGAAGGTTATTTGTCACTTAGAGCAATTTATCCTCAGGTGCTTTGCAGATCTACTCCAGTAATTTGCTGTTAATTAATTGTTTACTTATTGCGGTAGTTTGGGCTAGGCCTTCCTTAGTGACCAGTTTGTAACCAAGGAAGGGTCCAGATTTACCCAGTATTCCCTACGATTTTTACATAAGCCAGGGTATAAGAAGAAAGGAGGGAAAGGCCTTCGCTCTTTTTTCCTTCCGGCGGCTTGGGGGTGCAGGTTCCCTGCTGTTGAGTCTGCCGTGTTGGGGAGCGAGGCCTGGTAAGGCCTTGCCGACCTTGGGAGGCAGAGGTTGCCGGCGATCGTTCCAGAGCGACTTTCGGTTGTCCCAAGGAGAGTAGTGAGATATTTCTTTGCTAACTCTTTTAGTTTCTAGATCTTGGGCTACTGATTGGGATATATATATATATATATATTCTATTTTGGTTTTGTTCCTTTTTTTCCCTTCCCCCTCCCCTTTCCCTTTTCCTTGTAAAATTGTATATATATTTCAATTTTATATAACTGTAACATAAGTGTAAATATATTTATATATATTGCTTTAGCTGTCTCTCTCTTGTTTCAGTTTTCTTGGTTGTTTTTCTCCCTCTTCTCCCTGAGGTTTGGGGTGGGGGGGACACACACGACGATTTCTTGTGGTAAGGTTTGGAGACTTGACACGGAGCCAGCTTCAAACCATATCACTTATATAATGTTGTAAATAAAGGGAAAGTGAGGGAATCCCATTTAGGTTCCTAAATCAAAGCCAGCTGTTAGGCCATATTTACCCTCACTAACTCCTGTTTTTATAGCTACAGCGTTGTGAAAGGCTTTGGCTATTGCTATTATATTTTTTATTAAAATCCAGATGTTTAACAAGGTAACAATAAGATCTACTGAGCACTCCTGGCGTGCTGGTTTTAGCTCATAAATCATGAAATGGTTTGGATTGGAAGGGACCTTAAGGATCATCTAGTTCCAACATTCCTGCTGTGGAACAGGGACACATTCCACTAGATCAGGTTGCTCAAAGCCCCATCCAACCTGGCCTTGAACACTTCCAGAGATGGGCCATCCACAAGTTCTCTGGGCAACCTGTTCTAGTGCCTTACCACCTAGACAGTGAATAATTTCATTCTAATGCGTAATCTAAACCTACACTGTTTCAGGTTAGAGCCATTACCCCTTGTCCTATCACTTCATGTGTTTGCAAAAAGTACCTCTCCAGCTCTCTAGTACCTTTAGGTACTAGAAGGTTGCTAGAAGGTCTCCCTGAAGCTCTTTCTTCTCCAGGATGAACAGCATCAACTCTCTCAGGCTTTTCTCATAGGAGAGGAGTTCTGTTCATTCTGATCATTTTTGTGTCCATCATCTGGTCTCACTCCAGAAGGTCCACGTTCTTCTTATGCTGGGGGTCCCGGAGCTGGACACAGTACTCCAGGTGGGGTCTCATAAGGGGGAGAATCAGCTTCTTCAATCTGCTGGTCACACTCCTTCTGATGCAACCCAGGCTTTCTGGGCTGCAAGTGTACATTGCTTGGTCATGTTGAGCTTCTGGTCAACCAACAACCCCAAATCCTTCTCCTCAGGACTGTTTAAAATGCATTTAAAGCTATTACTTTACACGTGCATCCATCAGGTTAGATCAGTATGTGTTTTCCTCCAGAACTCCTTTCTATGTGTCAAAAAAGAATAGAGACCTCTGTAGCTGTAAGAAACTGGGAACAAAGATCAATGCTTTGAATAACCTCCTTTTCTACAATATTTCCTTAGTCTGTAATGTTAATGCTTAAATATTTGTATCTTTGTAATCTTGAATTTATTCCATTAAAGATCATACCTTTCTCTTCTCAGAGGGAGCCACTGCTGTTTGTCTGTTGTTCTTTGATGAGATTTATTAAGGCAGTTGGTGACCTTTCCTATATCCCCTGTTGATTGTCTGAAATGGCTTAGCCTAACAAAGGGGAAAATAACTACAGTGTTTTAGGGTGTCTAGGACTTGTTTATTTACCTGGTTGTGCAAGGTACTTACAGAATGACTGGCTGATTGATTTAATGCTGCTTTGTACCGCTGCTGGCATCCTTCTGGGAAACAGGACTGGAAAAGGCCTTTCTGCAGCTAAGTTTATGCCAGTGTCCATGCATTAGCAAACTGCATGTAAGGCATTTCAGTCAAAACCATCCCTTGGAACCCATGGCTGTTCATTTGACCAGGGTTTGGGATGGCCAATCTAGGCTTATACATGCTGTTAGACTGCCTGGTGGCAGTGCAGCAAGTTACTGTTGGGACAGACTTGTGTCAAAATCCATTTAAATGAAAAAGGGAAAAAGTATCATAAAATATAGCAAAAGAGACACTCTAACTTCTATAACAGAGCAGAGCAGACACAGGACAAAACAATGTCTTCCTTTGGCAATTCCAATTCTGGATTTATTCTGTGAAGGCCTAGGAAAGAGATCTTGGATAACTGGCAGAGTGGGGATCTGTGGCCAAATTGTGACTGCAAAGTGTGAACGGATCGGGGAGACCTTATTTTACCCTGTCAAACCAAGAATAAATCATTTACAATGGTCCAGAAGCCACAACATATATTTTCACTTCTACAGCTAACTTGGGGGAACTGATCCATGTGTTCCGGGTGTGTCAGGAAAAGGTTTTTCACCCAAAGGGTGACTGGGCACTGAAATAGGCTTCCCAGGGAAGTGGTCACAGCACCAAGACTGCCAGAGCTCAAGAAGCATTTGGACAATGTTCTCAGGCACATAGTGTGTGTTCCTTCCAAATTAGGATATTCTATGATCCTATGACTCTATATGAGCAGCAGCAATCCTTTGACAAATGGTGAGTAAAGGTGAGGTCTGTCCTGTCACAGGACAATAGGCCAGTCAAACACTGTGGAACAGCATGTCTGCCACAGTTCCTGGTATCTGGGAGCAGATGATGGCTACTGGAAGAGCTAAGACCCATATGGAACAAAGGAAAAGGAAGGTGGAGAATAGTTAGATTTGAGATCTGGGGATGGGCAGTACTAAGCTTAGAGGTGCTCATGATGCTCTCTTAGGTCAGATGTGTTTTCTCATACTACTTGATAGCAGCAAGCTATCAACCGACCACTCAAGAAAGAATAAACTGCCTTCTAGTGACTAAATCACCGCAATACTCTGAAACATAACAGCACTGACTCACATCTCTTATCTGTCTCACATCAATAAACACTAATGATGCAAAGCTCTGGATGATGTGCATGGAGGCACCGTGCTACTTCTCTTGGCTGAAACTGTATATGAGGGTAATTAATCACAGTGGGGTAACAGTGCATCTGGGATGATCAATTCCCAAAATCATTCCTAAAGAGATAAATGATACTACCCCATTAAAGGCTAGGACCAAGAGCCTTGAAACACTCAAGGGAAAAGTTTCCTTTGCCTTTTAGTACTAACCAGGAAGAGAAAAGAACACCTCAGAGGAAGAACTATATACTTCTGGAAGTACCCAGTTCCATCAGAGAAAGTCGAAGCTAGTTTAGGATTTTAGTCTTCGGACAGGCATGGTCACAACAGGTGGCAGTGAGGTCCTGGCTGCAGGACATGCCCTAAAGGCATCGGCCGCCTGTGACTTGCAAAGTGTGTGCTTTTGCGGTGCCACTTCCAGTCTTTCAACACTTGGTGGCACCAGCAATATAAAGAATCAGGGCCACGTCTACAGCCTTCTCTTGAGCAAAGGGAGCTGTGATCCTGGGAGAGTGAGATGCTACCCATTTATATGTTTAGAGCCTTGACGCAGTGAATGAAAGAAAAACATTATTCTAGGAACAGACCTCAGGTAATAGTAGGATTAGGAGCAGATGAGGATATAAGATAGGAAAATTGTCTGTGTAGTTTGATTACTTCCACTGTGAAATTATTGCAGCTAAAAAAATCCCACCTGTGATTAAAGGTGTTTTTTTTGTTGTGGTTGGTTTTTTTTTTTTTATCCTGTTGTCATAGATAAACCTTCTCCTCAGACTCAGAAAAAAAAGGCAGAGAAGGGGTGGAGAGGTATGGCTAGTCCCAGGTCCTGTGACAATGTTGTCCATGTCTCAGAGAGTGCTGGAGCCAGGATTGGCCCTTGTGGCTCCCCATTTCTCTGGCCACATTGCCCTGTGCACCAGGCAGCACAGCAGGATCCGAGTGAGAGGCAGAGACATGCCCTGCCTAACATGGGATGCTAATGGCATCCCTTTGGCAGATAAAGCCAAGATCTTTGGAAAAAATACTCTGCATGCCTATTTTTTTTTTTTTTGTGGGAGCTTAAAGGCAGAAGTTTCTAGATGCCAAACTGGAGGAAATCATGTGCTCATTGTTGATAAATTCCAGGAGTGTAGTAACAGAGAGCAGAAAGTTGTGGCGTTACCGCCTTACAGAGTACTTTGTATGCCTTCCTTAACATCTGTCATTTGTAACCAATGCCACTGAATGCAGTTATCCAATAAGATGCCAAACTGTCAGCATTTCATTAAAATATGATGCAGGGAATAGTTCAGTAAACTACTTAGCATGCCAAATGCATAGTATGTGCCAATATATTTATCGTATAATGTTCTTAAGAGCTGCAAGCCCCTGTTCATTGAGAGTAATCAATTCTATTTTCCTATGCAGTGGACCTTGAACCTTGCACTCACATTGCAACAATTTAATTTTTCCAAGGGACAATTGGGATAAGTAGATGCAGTACCTCTACCAGGAACATTGGCAATAAGCTCTATTGATATGCTGGGCTAAAAAAGCCCCACAGACCTCTGCACACTGTGGGGACAATCTAAAAATACATAATAAAAGCTTGATTAGTACAGCATGCAACACGGTGAGGAGTGTGTGCTGCTGAACAGATATAAAGTCTTGACAATGTAAAAGCAACAAAACCAAATAAAGTGATACAGCGACCAGAGTATTCAGCTCGACCTTACTGCCATTTGAAATAAAGGACAATTATGTTTTTAGTGGAGCTGATAGAATCTACCCCACTGACAGGTAATTAACAGTTTGAGGACAGCTTCAGTCCCCTACTCAGCCTTTGGGTTGCCTCATGAAACACTATCAGTTTCTGGGACATATAAATCCCACGTGTCAAAAAGCATGGTTTTCATACGCTCAGTGACCTTTCTCGTCTCTTGTATCCCTTCTTTCCCTTTTGTCTGAATACCCCAAAGTGCTTACAGAGACTGTTCCCAGAGAATTACTTGGTGTTCAGCTCTCTCACAGCTGAAATAGGGTCTCTCCTCTGATGTTGAAAACTAGGCAGCACTTCATCAAGGCAGGACTTGTATACATGTTCAGCAACCCTCCACCACCTCTCTCGATGAGAAGCCTGTCTCCTGAAACCTCGTTGTGCATATCTCTTTCTAAGGCAGAAAGGAAATATCTATGATACCACATATCTCTTTAAATCCTAAAATGGTTTAGTATTGCTGGTTCTACAGCAATACTAATAGATATCATCTGGTTTTTCTATAGCTGAGAGGCTCACAGAGGCCCTACCGCAGTGTTCTGCTGCTTCAGTTAAACAATACAAACCTAGAAATAAATTTGAGGTAAAATCTCATCTCTTCCACCTCCACTGAGCATCCTGGCCTGTATCAGCAATAGTGTGGCCAGCAGGAACAGGGCAGTGATTGCCCCTCTATACTCAGCATTGGTTAGGCCACACCTTGAATCCTGTGTTCAGTTTTGGGCCACTCACTACCAGAAAGACATTGAGGTGCTGGAGTGTGTCCAGAGAAGGGCAACAGAGCTGGGGAAGCATCTGGAGCACAAGTCTTAAGGGTGGCTGAGGGGAGCTGGGGTTGTTTAGCCTGGAGGAAAGGAGGCTCAGGGGGGACCTTATCACTCTCTGCAACTACCTGAAAGGAGATTGTAGCCAGGTGGGGGTTGGCCTCTTCTCCCATGTAACAAATGACAGGACAAGGGGAAACAGCCTCAAGTTGTACCAGGGGAGGTTTAGATTGGATATTAGGGCAAATTTCTTCAAAGGGGTTTGTCAAGCATTGGAAAAAGGCTGCCCAGAGACAGTTGGGTCCCTATCACAGGAGGTATTTAAAAGACATGTAGATATGGCACTCAGGGACATGGTTTAGTGGGACTTGGCAGTGCTGGTTGGCAGTGCTGGGTTAATGGTTGGACTTGCTGATCCTAGAGGTATTTTCCAACCCAAAGGATTCTGTTCTAGTCTAGTCTAGTCTAGTCTAGTCTAGTCTAGTCAATTCTCCCTGACTATGCTTCTAGGGGCTTTATTTCAGATCTCAGTAAGATCTATAAAGATTTGCAAGATTTACAACCTTGAAATTCAGATTACATATTAGATATCCAAAAGAGGATGTGGAATCCCAGTTCTAAGCTGCAAAAACCAATAAAATAGTACATAGACACACTTATACTTGTATAGACTGTGCTTACATTAGAAACATCTTCATAACGTCAGATAAGGATTTTTCCCCAAAATGTGTGTCTCCTCAAGACAAGCTTGCTGAAGGGGAAGATGTGGGGAAGAGTAGAAGGAAAGAAGGGAAGAAGCAGAGGAATAAATTCAATTTAAGCATGCACGGAAGGACTAAGGAAACCTGTAAACCTATCCAGGGTTATAAATGATAACTGAAGCAAAGGGCTTTTAAAGATGTGAAATCCACCTGCTCTAGCAAGGAGAGATGAAGACAAATAAAGACTTATGATCTGTGTCAGACAGTTTGCTGCATGTTTGTCCTTCCCAGCACTACTGTGTATTCCCCTGAGGAAAATGGACTTGTTTGCTGCTGTGGAAAAGATAATGGCCCGGAGTGCTGCCTGGAAAGTGACTCCCGTGCTGCTGCATAGCCCTGATATAAACAGAGTAAAAAGGTGCTCTTAATTACAGACAA